ATCATAATAATAATAATAATAATAATAATAATAATAATAATAATAATAATAATAATAATAATAACTTTGTGTCTATTTGTGTCTATAAAGCATATAGCTGTTTCAGCTGTGTACTCGAAGATGTATATCAGATACTGAACTAATCTCTTTGTTGACCAGAACTGCCATTTATCCCCCGACAAGATGTAAAAAGACAACTATAGAAACACAAGTGACTGTTGTGCGAAAAAGAGTACATACTGTACAGTATGTGGAAGCAAATTAAACCCACACATTTCCTAATGCCCACAAGTTTCGAGTCTGCGTTTAACTTCATAACTATCCTTAATCCTTATGCGCAAGCTTCGCGGCTCTTCTGTTTCAAAGGACAAGAAGAAACGGAATACGGGAGAGCGAGCACTGAACCCGACTGTTGAACTGGTTTAATCTCATTTCAACATTTTGTTGTCAGCGTAAAAAAAAAAAACTTTAGATGTAAACACGGGAGAGGGAAGAAGAAGAGATGTCGAAAGTTTTAACCTTTATTTTGCGATACATGAGTGTCCGCAATGAGCACCGCAGCGGCTGACTCACCTAGCCCCCGTGTGAAAGTGAATCTGTACTGTGTGGTAGTTCTGTGTGGTAATTCTCCAGTTACCATCAGAAATTGCATTTGTTTCTCAGGGTTGCGGCAGACGGGAGCCTGCATAATGGGCACAGGACTGGGGAGGGTTCGCACCCCACCCAGTGAACAGGACGCCAGTCCATACCGGGGGCACAGCCTCACACGCACACAACGAAGACACGGAGCCGCCCACCCGCCTGGCCCGCACGCGCTCGGGGGCCGGGAGAAGAGCCACGCGCCCGTGAGGAGGACATATGAACTCCTCGAGGAAGGGCGTCCAGGACGGACCCAGGACACCAAGACTGCGTGTGAGCCCGAACTAACCGCGGCACCCGCCAGCAGCCGGACGCGAACAATTTATCTGCTTAAAAAAACTCTCTCCACAGGAGAGAAATATTTCGGAAAGAAAGCAATGACGTTTGCATGCGACGCAGGTCATATCTATACGCGTCCCATGCTTTGACAGTTTTACATAATTTATATCAACTTTTAAGTTCCAATTTTCCTTTACCTGGAGATAAAGTTTTAATATTGTACATACTTCATTAAGGCGGCTAACTTTCAAGCTTACAGAGAACACGTAACATTTAACAAGTACTAGGCTTTCACAGTTTACAAATAAAACTGTTTCATTCTCCTGTATTTTGTCAACACGGTAAACTTCCAGCCGAGTTAAAAATACGCAGTATACGGCTATGCTCCGAATAGCATCATATTGCATTTGTTCAGAACTCCAACCCAACCAGTAAAAAATCACCATGCATTGACATTAGCTATACCGATATACGTGTCATAAAAGAAAAATACTTTTACCTTGCTTTTACAAGAAAATATTGGAGAGTGTCTCGCTGTGGATATTTATAATCACGCGTATATTTATAACCGCAGTTTTAACTTTCAAATGGTTATAAGGAGCAGACACGGCTGAGAAGTCTGTCGACCCACCTCTTCTCACCCCCCATTGGCCTTTTAGCTTGTCATAATGTTAATTTATTCACGGTTGGGGGGTGTATGGTCCTGTTAGTTGTCAATATTCCTCCGCACTGAGCGCAGGTGTTGAGGGACCGCTGAAGGATCTGTGGGTGCTGGCTTATGGTAATCTAGCAAGTGGGAGCAGGCTACAACAAACTGCATTTTCTATTATTATTTTATGTTATTAAAAAAAAAAACAAGAGTGGCAACAGGTGCAGAGTCGAGTTTGTGTTTCAGGCAGTGGTTCCCTTGTCCCAAGTGTCCAAGTGAACTGTTTCTAATGCATTTCGTTTTAGCCTAGTTCGGAATCTGTTCGGCTTGTTCTTTGAGGCACATTTGTTCAATTGCTCCTTAAAAAAAAACTGATCGGTGATTTTGATAGTCTCTGGCCATTTCGGAGGTTCAGAAGAGGCCGCCCGTTCGTGGGCTAGCTAAAATGTAAACCGGATTCACTCCGGAGAAAGGAGAACCACACACGTTGTGCCATGACGTCATCACCTTCAACTCTTGGTCAGAAATTGATCACCCGTTTAAAAGATGGTTTGACACAATCAAGGGGCCAGATTGTTAAGAGCAATTTGAGAAAAAGAGCCACCAATGTCGAAAAAGCGTGTGTATCAGAAACAGCAAAGGATTTTGTCTTAAGCTGTAAACACTGTGTGTGTTTAAAGCCACTCCCGGGGATGGGTCAATGAAAACACATTCTGGAAACGGTATTTAAATATTGGCTTAGCAATAGTCAAGTATCAACAAAAGAAAGGCTTTAATGATCCAATCCTATAGGTAACTGGCAATAAACATTTATGAAGGAGCCAATTTGAAGATAAATAACTAATTCATTGGTGGAACACTTTCAGAGGAGGTATAGAGTTTTTCTTAAAACACCTTATTTTTGTGTTGGTTTGTACAGGGCTCCTTTTGGAGTTTGATGTTTGTAAAGAGGTTATCTTTAAACTAGGCAGTGCTTCTAACACCTTCTTTCTGTCCCTTATGCTGACATGTAGGCTGAAGTGATGAGGTGCTCGATTAATACATTCAAGAATGCAGAGGGCATTTTAGAACAGACTACAAGATTTTTTAAAAATAAAGACCTTCCATTGGTCGTGATCGTATAGCGGTGCAGAGCTTTGGACTCTCACTGAAAAGATGGAGCGTAAACTCATGGGTTTTGAAAACAGTGCCTTAAGACAGATTTTTGGACCAGTGAAAGAAAATGGAGAATGGAGAGGAAGGAAAAACAGAGAATTGAGAGAGCTTTATAAGGACCCTGATATTGTTGCTACTGTCAAAGGAAGAAGTCTACATTTGTTTGGCCATGTAATGAGAAGTGATCAAGATCGTTGGGGGGCAACAGAGAAGGAAAACCTCGTTTCGATTATTCCTACAATTTTGGCCATAATATTGCAAGAAAGATGTTGCTGTACTGGACCCAGTGCAAGGATGAACCATCAGATGCATTCTAGGACTTCAAGCAAGGTCCTACAGGGACAGGCTGAAATAATTAAACCACTTGTGGTCTTATTCAGAGAAGGCTATGAGGCACTGTGATACAATTATTCAAAATTCTCAACTAAACATTGGAACACAAACCAGAGGGCACAAGTGGAAAGCAAGTGGATTTTGCATTTAAAAGCAAGAACCGGAGGTTCAACTAGCTACTTCCAAATGGGCTAGATGTGCCATGTGGCCTCTTCTTATTTGTAACCTCTCTTATGTTTTTATTATTTAGAATAGTTAATCAAACAGGCAGCCAGTCTTTGGGTGGTGGGAGGAAAACCAAAAGCCTAGAAAAAAAACATGCACGGTAAATATGGGGAGAACATGCAAACTCCACACAGTCTGAAAGTTGAGCCCAGGACCCAGAGCTGTAAGGCAACAGCTCTAACTGGCCAATCTACTGTGCCACCTACTGTCTGAAACGGAAACAACATTACATCGCCAAATTTGTTTTTAAGATGAAAAGCGGAACTTTTGAATGTAAAATCCCCAAATGACCCAAAATGAAAACGGCACACATCTGTCATCAGATTAACTTCTATCATATTTATTAATAAACATTATTTACACATCAAGGACACATGCAACAAAAGATGAGCCCTGCACCTCATTTACCTAACAAATGGGTTTTATATTCCCTTAGTTCATTTATTTTGCAGCATCACAAAAGAGAAGGACACAAGTCAAAAACAAAAGCCTCATTGAAATACAACACAGAGAAAACATTAAAGTTTTATATATTTAGTCAGTATCTACACAAGGCTTCTTTATTAAAAGAGCTCTACACTACCATGATTGTACAGCAGAATCTCATCCTAGCAGCTGCTTTTTGCTCACTTTGGTTTTGTGCTTCTCTGCAGCGGTGAAATTAGCACCTGAACACACAGATAAGGGCTCCTGAAGGTCTGAGTTAGATTGACCATGTTTATTATTATTTCATTTTTTGCAATTTAACACCTGAATTCTAGTGCCAGTGTTGAGTATGAAAGATGCTGCAATCTCACCTCTTTAATGGCCTACTGAAGCATGTCTTGCTGAAACAGCTTTCCATTTTGTGCATGCTGCTTTACTATTGTAGATTGGCTTGGATAGTTTATCAATATGTTTATGCAGCACAGACTCATTTCCGATGCAATATACAGCATATATATTTAAACACACATAGAAATATAGATTTTAAAGACATTTCCTATAGAATTATCATCTAGGCAACAATTCAGATACATAATTGGGGCTTGTTGCATTCAGCATGTTTCCATTGATACAGCGACGTTTAAGACATCAGTCCACACTTGTAAGGTCACCCCTTCCGCTTGAAATTGAGCACTGTAATCTCAATAATTTGTGTGAAGATCTCTGTGTTTGATGGGAGATTCACCAAAAATCTCCCATCTCCCAGTAACCTCCCAGTAACTAAAACCTAAATAACACCAGAACGCTGGGGGTGGGTGAAAAGATGTGACGTCTGCAGCTACTGTACATGAATGTCACTGATTAATACAGAATGAGTGATGTACAATTAATTTGTTAAGGTATCCTTTCTAATGCCGTGAAAGGCTCATTATAGTTACAGAGTAAAACAAACTGAACTCATATTCCTAATGGCCATGCCTATTAAAAATACATAGCAAAAACAAAATACAGGGGACTCATTTATACTTCTTGTAACAGGATACTTCAGACATGGGCTTTGTTTTCTCTTTATCTATTCAGCACCTGTTGTGTGATCAATGCCATCACTCTAAGGGCGTGTGAGCTCTGGCACTGAACCAAAGGAAAGACACTGCAACATACTGTACAGCAAAGCAGGAGATCATTGTCTGCTCTTGTACTCTAGCCAGCGATTCAGAATTTTAAAATATTGATTGGCGAATTAAGAAATAAAATCAACAGGTGTAGACAGAGAAAAGGGCTGTACAATAACAAATTCGGTGAAGCTACACAAGATGCACACTGTAGCCCTACAGCCCCGAAGGCTTCATCTCATCAGCACTTGGAAGCTAAACTAACCTGGGCTTGGCTTTAGAAGCAGGTAGTAAAGGGCACTAAAGTGCAAGAGCTGCATGCAGTGTACAGATGGGCATTGCCCAGGGTGAAAATAAAAGCTTCATTCCACTGCTATTTTACCAATTTAATGCTTCACAAACTGGAAGCCCTTGTAAAATTGTAGTGATAAAGCAGAAAAAAAATCTGTATGATAATACTGTAGATGAATATTTTATGTGTGTAAATACCAGTTTATATAGTAGGTGTGCTCTGGGCAGGTTACTTCTAAATTTTAATGTATTATATAATTGATTATAGTTGCAAGTTTCTTGTGCAAGGGATTACTTTTTCAAAATTAACATCAAGCTGGGGAAAATATTTTTTAATGTAATAAATTCCACCAATACATTTATTGTTTGTATAATTACAGTAGTTAGCAAAGAATGTCTTAAAAACAATTAGTCCAAAACTGTTTAATTTTAAGAAGTAACCCTGTTCAAAAGAAACTAGCAACTGAAATGTGTAATTTACTAACTTCGCCTGTTATTTATGCTTTATATATACACATATATTTATGTCATGTCTGTTTTTAAGCTACCCAAAAATACAAATAAAACATAAAAGCACTTTAGAAACCAAACAGATGTTTTCTTGAGAAAGACAGAAAAAGCATACAGCAATGTGTGGAAGCAGACTTTCCAATTTCAGGAAGTTCTTTCATGAGAATTATTTAAATTCCACAGGACTGGCTGTAAACACTGCTTACTCAAATGAATTATAACATTAAGATTGAAATGAGTACAAATACTGACCTAAGAACAACCTGCATGCAGTGTCAACTTGGTTAAGAGCTCACAGCTTTAGAAACCAGTGGCAGCTCAAACTATCAGGCAGAGTCTCCCAAAGGTCACAATATCTCATCCTGTTGAACCTGAAAGTCTGGATACAGGCAGACTGTTGATGATGGAGATGAGACAATGACGTAAAGCAGAACTTTTGACAGTGTTTTCGCTTTCTTGTTTTACAAGCCTTAAAAAAAGAATTGCAGTCAACACTGATTTAGCCCTGGGTAAAACTAATGATGTATTATATGAAGCAGGGGAAGGCTTAGTCAGCTCAACAGCAGTACTGTCATTACATTAAAAGTTTGTTTTGCGACCCTAGCATAAAATGTCTTTCAAAGAACCAAGCTAGGGAATTCTCTAAAAAGCATTCAAAGTCAATCAAAAATCAAACTAGAGCAGCATGAATGAAATAGTGTAGGCATGCACATGCAACATTGACAGCCCTGTGATATACAGCATGTATAGTACAGTGATTTCCTTTATGTAGAACTTTTCACGGAGGCTGGTTTTGCCACCAATTGTGAGCTTGTCAAACTAGATGAAATGGCAAGATGCACCCTTTATGTTTCTGGTCTGACACGTTATCAAAAAGAATTTTGCACCATATTTTCCACAATGGACATTTTTTTGCTAGTGCCATATACTGTAAATTCCTCATAGTGGTTAAAATCAGAGCTCCCGCATAAAGTGCTCTGTTTTATGTTACATTTCCTGATTAGCATCTACCAGGCTGATATTTTTATGATGGTGCTGTTAATGTTTTCCATACTGTAACACTACCTCTTCAGAATGAAGCATTCCCATCTACGGGATGAAGCCGAAATTTGTTGACTTTGCTATCCTACAGAAGGTGTCATCAGTAGCACAAAGTGATATCACCTCTGACATTTTGTTTTCCCTGGGTCTTAGCTTGCAGAGCTGTCACATGAGTCAGTTTGTCTCCCAACAAGCCAAACACACCCCTTCGTGACCATATCTGCACACTCTGAGAATGTATTTGAAGAGAAAGCATGTCTCACCGTATATGCTTAATTCTGTTACAGTTACATTTCGTAAGAAGTTACTTTGCAGTATCCCTGTTTTTTTAACAGATTCAGCATGTCTGATGTAAATTTTAAATTCCACTTGTACACAAATTGCTCCTAAATTTTGTGTTTGGCCACATTCACTGTAGAATACAAATGGTTTGACAGATTTAAAAAAAAAAACTGCACGTTATAAAAGCCAAACCGCAACTTAATTTAATACTGTATGGTTCCACAAAAAAAGTGCTTAAATTTTAGAGAACGTTTTCTTCTGTAGTAAAGAGTTAACTTGCCGTGAAAGAGTTTGGAAACATCTGCAGAGGTGGATAGGCCTGCAGAATATACAGTATGTACTGTATATACATATATGTATTTTCACAACACTCTTTTTTTAATTGAAGAAAAAGTGGTTTGCCTAGGCTAAAACGTTTTTGTAACGGCATAAACACGGGACAAAATCATCACCCTGCAAGAATATCCGAAAAAGTTCACAGTGCTTCATTCATTAAAACATTCAGAACATTTTACTTGACAAAACCAACTTATATTACAATGACAAATACAGGAAATAACGATCATGTTTTTATGTTCAGCAGGAGTCCATAACACCATGAAAGTCTCTGTCCTTGCTCAGAATAAAATACCAGAAATTGGGTACTGTAACGCAATGTGAAGATCATTTGACAGGATCAGGTTACGTGATCAGCAAAAATTTAATTGTTAGTGAAGATTAATTAGTGAGTACTGTGCTTCCCCTTTGATTTTCTGATATACAAGCAACAGAACAGTGCTTTTGGCAGCTGTTTGTACTAAGAAGTGTTTTTGGTAGGTCTGATGTGAGCCTCCATATAGAGGAGGCCATAGTGTTGCTTTGGCCTTGGGTGAAATGTCATATCACAAAGCTATAGGAGCAGGTGCCTGTCTCCTAGCCTCAAATCTACCACTGGGTTTAGTAACATAATTTGTGATTACTCCACCCCCCAGTTAGAGCACCTCCCATTCCTCTCCAGGAAATGAAAGACAGATGGAAACAATGTTCACAGAAATCCCAAACGGCTTTGCAGCATAAAACAGGAATATTGAACCCAGAGACTACATTTTAAAATAAATCTATGTGCAGTATCAATCTGTACATTTTACAATTAAACCAATGTAAGCAATTTTGATTTCTAAACTGATTCAATCTAGGCATGCTCCTTGTTTTTCTTTGTGTGTAACTAAAATGTTTCCTAATAAAAACAGTAGCTTTGTTGTGTTTGCCTTAACTTTGAAGTAGTCTTATGCATTTAATAAATATATCAGTTGCACATGCAAAAGCATTTACATGATATATACACACATATGTACTGTATTTAAAGTATACTGTATATATGAGACATACTGTATATATTATGCATGTGTGCACATATATACATAAATTCTGAGTTGATCAAATAAGAGTTGATATCTCAGATTGTAGGCCTGAAAAGATGTTGCTATACATGGGTGTAATGCACCACACGGTGTGTGTGTATATTTATCATTTTCATTATCTTTTTATTCATTTGTTAAAAAAGTGATTTTACAGTAAACATTGCATGGAAACACAAGCTTTAGACTAACCAAGTGGATTTAACTACACAAAAACTCAGAATTGTAATCAAACCAAACCTGGATAAACAACAAAAGAAAAACTCAGAATAGTCCAATACTGCAGTGTAGCAGAATAGTGCAGAGCAATTACTGTAACATGTTTAAACTAATAACCAAAACTCTCATTTGCAAGACTCGTGTTTTACATTATTACTGAGTAAAATTTGTATAATCCACAGAGAGACTTCTGAATATCTTCCATTATCCACAGGAAGCTGCAAAGATATATTCAAAAACATCTATGTCATTTTTTGTAAAGTCAGCAGGCATGTCCTGACACTGATAATAGCACATGTACTGTTTGTATTCATACACACATATAAATCCCATGGTCTTCTGCAAGTTGTCTGATTCCTTGTATGACTTCTCAACTCAATAACATAAACCCACAGGGGGTACTTAAGGTGTCACAGTACAGAATGGTTTTCTCAAAGATCTCCAGGGGCTTTAATACTGTACATTGACTGGCTGCAGATAAAACAATTGTGTTACGTCTCTTAGCATCATGATTACAAATCTTTTTTTTATCACATTTCCAAAAAATGCCCAGTTTTCACTAACACTAAATACTTCATTCATCAGTTTTTTTCTGGAGATGCAGTGAGCAAGGACACTACAAGCCACCACCCCACTTTGTCCATCGTTGGAGGAGAAGCTGAGTCACTCAGGCATCTCACAAGTCCATTTCCACCTAGGGTGCCGTACCAGTGCTTGCAGTCACAGCACACCAAGCAGAGTAATAAAAGTCAACACACATGCTCTTCAGAGCTTGCTCCTTGAAATCTGGTCAGAAGATCCCCTATTGAACAGCAGCACTGGGAAAACAGACAGACGAGGCTCTCTGTAAGACATGGGTGTAAGATGAGGGTCCATAACTAATTCACAATGTCTCTCTCACTAGTTATTTTAAGTAACTCCAGTGCTCCTTTAACTTTAATTGACAACAGAGATAAGAAAATACCCCAAAACCTCTCCAATGTTTAAGCAAGAAAATAACATGCTCTAAGCTTCAGGTCATCCCAGTTGCTACCTGAACAGGTTGCATTAGGCTGAGCAATATTTCAGGTACTGTGGATGGATGGTTACCATGTTACTTATTTGGATGAAAACTGACTTTTTTCACTGGGACTGCTATTGTTTAAAGAGCTGTATCAGAGAGTTTTGTATTTACAAATAAAAGCTTTGACTGGTACTTGAAGAAAAAACATATTCATATACAAGACAGTTTTCTTTTTTTTCAGAGACATTCCAAGAGTAAACACTGAGGCTCCAACAAATTTAAGTGCATTTCACTAGTGTACACTCCTTTCTGTCCCTTACTGCAAGTGTGTGTTATCACAACACTGGAAGAAGTTCTTCTCTCGTGATATGACAGAGATCACAATGCATCATTCACTATAATTTGATGGGACACCTACTGTACAGATGATCAGTTCCTTGTCATATGGACACTACTTGTTTTTCACTAAAATCAATCAAATGTCTAGAAATACTACAGCAGATACAGAATTCCAGCTTAATACCAAATTAATTTTGGATTTGTTTTCACTCAGTATAAAGAACAACTAACACGCAATAAAAAGCTACCTCAAATTATGCATTTTTGTATGTTGTCCAGGTTCTTGTATGAAGTGATTTTTCCAATATAGAACTGAAATTTGAAGAAGAAAGCATTGCTTAATCTCAAGAATATGTCTGTACAATTAAGTCAAGTTGATCTCATTCTTGTTCCTGATCAGTCCTTAATGTGAATTTTAAGGACTGGAGTAAACTGGATGCGGTGTTATCTAAAGATATGTTTTACAGGACATAGCCTTAAAAGGTTTACCCAGTCACTTTGGCATACATTATGACTGGGCTTACAAAGTGTCAAAATACAGACTTGTTGTTTAACTGTTTTGCTGGTCATTTAATGAGACACATATTCACCAACTGACACATAATCAGAATCATTAGCAGTTTGAAAGGTGGTGTTAGCTGCAAATCCTGGAAGATGTCAGCATGCCAAAGGTTTTTATTTCTGCCTTTGTCATACTTCCTCTAGTAGGGCACCCAAGCAAAAGAAACATCAGCTGGTATCAGCATCAACAAGAGGACTGGCGTACTGGCTCATCGTGAATGTTTTCTCCCCACATTGATCCTGAATACTCCAGATACACTTGACAGCTTTTGCTCCTCACGTGTCCCAGAGAAGGAAAATCTTCATATTCGAGGCCAATGCACTCCACAGAAATTGATGTTCCACAGCTCTCTATGGGGAAAACAAGCAAGACGTGAAAGGGGAAAAAAAACATGAGCCTGACCTAAATGTTCTCCTGCTCTGAAAGGACCTTCCAATCCAAAACTGCACAGCCAAGGGTACAGTGCTATTTACTCCCCCGCAGAAACACCCCAGAGCGGTGAAGGTGGGCCTAGATGTCAAGGCCTCGGGTGCAACCTGTTTTGTTGCCGAATTTCCCATCCACGCCCCCCTGGCTCCTCTTTCCAAGGGTTGGGCAGGGCCTTCAAGAGCTAATCAGACCACAGCAGAAGAGCTGGAGGAGGAGGAGGACGAACTGGAGGATGGGGAGGAAGGCAGGTTCCAAAAGAGCCACTTGCGCTTGCACTGGCGCTTCTGGTACAGGTAGTCCTCCTTCTCTCGCTCCTTGCGCGCTCTCTGGTAGTGATCGTCTTCCTTCAGGTACCAGACGGGCGGCCAGCGGTGCTTCTCGAAATACTCTTGGTTCTCTGGAAATCAGCAGAAGGTCAGAACGCATTGCTTGTCGTCATGTCATGCTGTCATGTACGCATGTATTAAAATGTTAAATTGCATTTAAAAATCCTTTGATAACAGAATGCTAAAGAATTATTTATGTTATTTTCTAATTTTTCTGGCAATTACAGCACAAAACAGAGATTTAATTTGGTTTAACTGTAAAGCCACTAAAGCCACAGCAATGCTATTATTTCTGTACATTTTAATTGTCTTCGTTTCTACTGTTCTAACAGGTGAATACCTGCAGATTTGGCCTTCATGTCACGTGGGAACTTGCGACACACACTGTTGTAGTTGGTGCAGATGTGGTGGAGACACCAGTCGGTGAGCTGATGCGCACAGTGAAACTACGAGGACACACGAAAACAGAGGCAGGTAAGAAAACACTCAGTGCTTAGCAGAGCAAACTGCCTTAAAATGGCATTCCATAGGAATTTCCTCTAAATCAGGTTCCCAGCCCCGGTCCCAGGCACCCCACACATCCCCAATTACAATAACTGGACCCTTAATTGACCTGATTTAGCATTTATTTTTTCCAGGTCCTTACATACAGTATGTTGGAGCAGAGATTCTTAATATCACCCACATTTCAGTTTTTCAAAAACAAGCAAAAATTCCAGTCAAACAACTTGGCAGTTAAATTCAACTTAAGATGGATTTAAAAAAACTAAAGAACAAACACCAGCAGGCGTGAAGGACCCCAGAACCAGGGTGGGGACCCCTACTCTGAATGAAGGTTCCACTATTCTGAGAAAACAGTCCTGTTCTGTGAAAAGACATTGTTTAGGTGTTGGATGCTGCATTTTTAATTTGGCAGAAGAATAAAATCTGCCTCTTGGTTTTGATTTGAGCTCAATTTAATTGCCCTTGAAGTAGCTTTTAAATAGTTTACACTTTTTAGTTTTTTGGAAAACGTTATGGAAAACAAAAAAAGCTTGGATGTTTGTTCTCAATTCAACTGCTTATGTTTTTCTCAAGTTTTCCACCTCTGCTGTACATGCCAATTCCTTTTGCCCGGGGAAACATTAAATTAACGTAGATAAACCAGCAACTGCAAGAAATGAGATCTCCAGGAATAAGAGGAAAGAGATGGAGGAGGTAGTATGTAGAGGGTCCCAATAAAACAATGTAGAAGTTCAGTATAAAAGCAGCATATTTCTTTGAATCATATTCCCCATCAGGAGGAAGAGACCAGATATATCTACCCATACCTGCGCCATTTCAAGGTACACCAGCACATCTCCATCAATGTCAACTCCCATCATGGCTGCCTCCATCAACATTGTCACAGTGTACAGCTCTGCAATGAGACACCAGCTCCGTGAGCACTCACCACTCCTGACTGCTGAAGGCCACACTGCATCCCTCTGATGATCACGGCTGTAAGCTCTACGTTACACAGCAATTGCATGATGGCGGCGCCCTCGTAGGCAGCAGCCCAGCGAGCTCTCTTAAACGGATCTTTATCGTTGTTTTTTTTTCTCGTCCGAGAGCTAGCTAAATAGCATTTCGTTATACCATATACCATGTATATGAGTGTAATGACAATAAACTTGAACTTGAACTTGAACAATATATATTCCACTCCACTATCTGAGCACAGGTCAAATGATCTGGAACTCCAGGACTTAAATACGGGAAGGGAATGTCCTGGAGATCACGGAAGGTTGTCAGAGCTGGGGTAATTATATAGACCATGACTGTATACAAACTGCTAGGGTTCACTGTCCCTCCTTCCTTTGGCCTCTCCTGGGTCCCAGGTCCAGTCCCCTACTGGCCCAACACCTCCACACTGCCACTGTGTTCGCTCTGACTGCATGGTAATTGACTTTGTGAGTGTCTAGGCAAACAGTGTGTCTCTATCTGTGATGTTTGGTGCCTGTGCTGACTATATTATAGCAACAAGAAGACCTTATAAGGGGAGAGAACAGAACATTAAAAAGAAAACAAACCATACCCAACAAACAGACTGGCCACTGTGCGCACAAGTCAAAGAAACAGCCACTGGCCCACTCCCACTTCTAACTCTCTGTGATGTAAGGAGGACAATGGAAGAGAGTATGAGAATGGGCATGGGAGGAGAAATAAAGATCTGGGAGACAAACTCCTTGTATAGGTGAAAATCAAAAATCCCAAAATGAGAAGTGAGTTTGATCAGTTGATCAATTTACAGCTGACAGAAGAAGTTTCATATTCCTGTTCTCTCTTATGAGAAGTAGCCTCCACAGTGCTTTTACTTCTTTCTACTTTTTCTACTCTCCAACCTGGAATTAACCTCTGCTCATTCACGCAGATGCAGCTCCAGACTCAATCCTACTGATTGTCATCCCTGTCTGGTCTTGTGGCTTTGCTCATTACGCAGGGCCTAACAGAGTGTGACCGGCGTGTGTGTGTGATATTCATGTACATGGCACCAGCCCCGGGTACCTGTGAGCGCCACAAGGTGAGGCAGACAGAGGCGATTGGCCAGGACGATGAGCTCCATGGCATCCAGGTCTGGCCGGGAGCAGAAGCGGCCCGTGTACAGGTACTCCAGCACCGCCCGCATGCAGCTACGCGTTGTGTTGGGAAAAAGCACCTGCAAGAAACACACAAACAACACAGCGTGACCACAGGGTGGGAGCGTGGTTAGAACTCTGAGAGAGCCCTTGGGTTGGTGAATATTTTTAAAAAGCTGATGCCATATCTTTGAGCTAATGTGTACAAACTATGTCAGTGTACTGAAAGCGCCAATATCTCCAGGAAGCTGGTGTTAAATCGACTGACAAATACAAGCACGTGTGATGGTGGTTGTGGTTGGTGCAGCCAGGGCAACGCAGAGGCACCTCAAATTACTCTCAACGTCCCAGAAGTCCTCAAAGCAACGCAATGTGCTGCATTTTTTCTATATCAATCAGAACGTTCTAAGACTTCAAATATTCCTCAGTAACTGTCCCTTCCAGTTCTCACAAGGGACCCACCTCTTTGGTGCAGCTCTCCACAAAGGGCCCCCCAAACATAGCAGCCATCCAATCACAGCTAGAGATGAGCAGGGGCTTGTGAGCTAGGATTGTGCCATCGTCCAACTTAAACACCACATCTGATGGAGATAAGAAATAGAAAAGCCATACTTCAAATTTATTGTCCTACAGAAGGATCTCCTACATTACTTTTGCTACTTTTGCCATTGGGAAAGCATTTCAAGTAGGTAGCTGTGTCATCATGGGTAGGCTGCAAAGGAAGAGGTAAAGGTTTATTCCATGCTGAAAGGAAACAAAAAGAGACACCTGAAATAAGCTCCACAGCTGAAACACTGACCCAATTTTCTTTTCCTTTCAGCATGTAATAAACCTTTACATGTTCCAATGGAAAAGCATGATGCGTTCAACTGAATTACCAAGAACTCTGAGCGTTAGTCAAGCTTTTTGCCTGCCTATGACTGTGGAGTTTTAATGTATCAGTTAACAGTCATAGGTAAGTGAAAACCAGTCAGAATTCTGTGACACAAAGCAGAATCTAAAGTGAACATTACAAAATTTAGTGACAATCATGACGGGAGCAAAGCAGGATGTACAGCACCACACTGCTCAGAAGTGACGACTGAGCTGAGTAACTCTCTCTTCAGTTTTGTCATTATATTGGAGAACGTTCAGGAAGCAGGGGTGGTTTAAGGTTCAGGAGGCCAGAAATTTATTTAAGCATTATAAGTACTGGCAAAAAAAAACTTTTTATAGCTAAGAAGAAGTCCCTGAAATTTCATTACTACCCAAACTAAGAAAATACTGTATGAAATCTTTACAACCTGAATTAATTCTAAAAAATATTGGCAAAGTTGTTTGCATACAGTATATGCAAACCTTCTCAGCATGCAACACATTTCTCTTGTCCAAAAGTTTTCATGGCACAGCAAATGATTTTAAAATAAGCAGCACAAATACTGCGAGAAACAGCATTTATTTCCAGCTGAAACAGACCATGTAAAATAAATGTGAATAATTTATTTTAAAAAGGGCATTTTGATGTAAAAGATCTGAGTTCTCTTCTTCTGCATTCAAATTCTAAATTTGAATGTGAAATGTGACCTTAATCTAAAGAAGAAAACCGTTTAATATTTGGTTCGGTGCTGGAAAGAGGAATACATGAAGCCCCTGAGCCACACTGTTTAAACAGAATCTCGTCCGATTACACTGCCTTTGTGAAACGTCCTGCAGGAATGTCACGAGGTGTTTCACGGAAAATATGCCAACATTTTTCTTTAGATATTTAAAAGGAATGACTTATAACCCCTTTCAGAATTCTGCAATATTGTGTGATCATTTCTATATTATAATAATAATAATAATTGCTTACACTTATATAGCGCTTTTTCTGGACACTCCACTCAAAGCGCTTTACAGGTAATGGCTACTCCCCTCCACCACCACCAATGTGCAGCCCCACCTGGATGATGCGACGGCAGCCATAGTGCGCCAGAACGCTCACCACACATCAGCTATCAGTGGGGAGGAGAGCAGAGAGTAATGAAGCCAATTCATAGATGGGGATTATTAGGAGGCCATGATTGGTAAGGGCCAATGGGGAATTTGGCCAGGACGCCGGGGTTACACCCCTACTCTTTCGAGAAACGCCCTGGGATTTTTTAATGACCACAGAGAGTCAGGACCACGGTTTTACGTCTCATCCGAAGGACAGTGCCAGTTTACAGTATAGTGTCCCCGTCACTATACTGGGGCATTAGGACCCACATGGACCACAGGGTGAGCACCCCCTGCTGGTCCCACTAACACCTCTTCCAGCAGCAACCTTGTTTTTCCCCAGGAGGTCTCCCATCCAGGTACTGACCAGGCTCACACCTGCTGAGCTTCAGTGGGTTGCCAGTTGTGAGTTGCAGGGTGATATGCTGCTGGCTGAACTGCTTACTCAGTCCAATACATATTACTTGTATTGGACTGAGTAATTTCTTCTGGACTCCTATAGGATTCATTGTCAGTTTCTGTCCGAGGAATATTAGAGTTTTCTTCCCAAAGACTGCAATAATACAGTGTGTACAGGACTGCGATCTGACTCAGTGCTGTACAGCAATCCTTACCTGAGAACGTGCCCTTAGCCAGGCACTCCTTGACTCGGTTGGTGCGCCGCACATGGAAGGCCTTGGTGATCTCCTGATTCATGAAGGCCTCGTTATTGAGGATGTTGGCCACCATCATGCGCAGGTCGAAGACCTCCAGCAGCTCGGCGATGTGCGCGATGTGCATCAGCTCCTTCTCGCGCTCGTCCAGGTGGCCCGCGTACAGGTAGCGCAGCACCGCTCGGAACGGGCCCAGCTGGATGGAGGGGTCCATGCGCACCACGGTCATCAGGCGGGAGCTGTAGGTCACAGGGTCCTCCACCATGTCCTCCTGGATGCTGATGAAGGCCCGGCTCCAGGAGGACAGCAGCCGGCCCCTGCGCCCCCTGCCGTAGGAGCCCCCCCCCCGGAGGGTGCCGTCACTCGTGGAGGCCCGCAGGCTGGCGCGGTCGCCCTCTCCGCTGTTCTCACACATGTCGAAGCTGGCGGCTCGCATGAACAGGTCCCGGCCGGACAGCGCCTGGCTCCTGGGGGTCTGCCGCTCGTCCTCCTCCTCGGGGCTGAGGTCCATCGAGAAGAGGTCGAAGAACTTGGAGGAGGCCGTGGCCAGGTAGATTTTGTGGGCGAAGAGGCGGTGGCGCTCCTGCAGGACCAGGATAACGTCGGCGCAGAGCGGGTCCTCCAGCAGCCGGCCCGGGTGCTCCTCGGTGGTAGAGGGGGGCGCGGGCACCGTGATCATGGGCGGCGGGGGCTTGGGCGGCAGGAAGGGCGCCTGTAGGAGCGGGCGCTGCACATTGCGCAGGTGGGACTTCCAGAACTGCAAGTGACGGCGGGAGATGAGGGCGGCGCGGATGGCATTGTCGAAGACATCCTTCACCCCGAACTGGGCCACCACGCTCGTCTCGTAGTACGGCACACCTAGCTCCTTGGCCACTTCCCTGCCCTTCTCTGGAGCCAGGATCTCATTGGGCTTAATGGGTCTGCAGTGGAGAAGGGGAGTGTGGAACAGCAGATGGGTTCGGAATGAGAAAAGCAGAGTGAAACACAAACTTGGCACAAGTTCGAGTGTATCTCATTTAAGATGAGATTCAAGGTATAAGGGTATCTTCTGATGCACCGCGCTGGACAGACAGCATCTCCAAAACAACACTGAGCAGTCCTGGTATCCAAACGGCTCTCAGAAAGACAGGTTTTCTGACTCATTCTAATTTGCACAGATGCTGCCCTGCATCACACACGGCCTACAATATGTCTTGTATTAATCATGACATGCTTTTAAATCAGATTTTTGCGTTTCGAAGGGCAGGACAGTGAAGTGTCAGTTGGTGCTAATAACCTTCATATGCATCTTTTAAGATCCTGTGAATGTAAAATATTTTTTTTCTGCTGGATCTGTTCTAGTATAAAGAGGGACTCCAGGGCTTTCACATCAGATGCGAGGGGAAATGGGCAGTGAATTTTAACTAGGAGTAAGGCTGTGCGGTTTTTAATTCCTTGTTTCTTAACACTGCAGTACAGTAAACTGTGAACTTTTAGAGGTCTTCATAGCAACTCAGGTTGCACTAATTTGACAATAAACAACTAATCAATCCAAAAATTCAATGTTTAAAACTGCAGGACAAATTTTAACAGCCTAATGTTTATCAGTTAAAGAACGCCAGATTACCAAAATATGCCATGTTTAAATTTCACAACCAATTATCATAAACAAGGGCATGTATCTTTTTCAACCGCCGAAACAGAATGCAATATAAGCCTTTTAAAATTCTTTTTACACCATTTTCAGAAATCAATAAAGCTCATCCTATCCTAAAGCCTTTCAGCCATCAAGGAAATTTATAAGCTTTTCAGCTCTCATTACTAATAACCTAACAAACTGAAATAGTGCATCTGCCACAATTATAGAGTATACACTCAAAAACAAATGTCTGATTTCTATACTGTTGTACTGTAGATATTCATAACGTGTACACATTTGTGGGCACTGTACCTACAGCATTGTTTATCTACTAATACTTTTATGTAATAACAGACTAATTGAAATGATTAAAATAGCTAAATCATTGCTTAATGATTACTCATTATTTGGTTTGACAAAAAGGCTCCATCAACATCTTGAGGCTAATGGACTGTATTGCATGTTGACAAACAAGCCGTGAAAAGCAACTACAGTGAGACACTAGAAAAACTCCCTTGGCAGAGGAAGCACCAGCTGACCTGGCTAGGGGGCGCCGCGCCCTGTTCACAGCCTCCAGATCCGCGTAGCGCAGGTCCAGCTGGCAGCCTACCAGGATGACGGGTGCCCGTGGGCAGAAGTGCTTGATCTCCGGGTACCACATGGTCTTCACATGGTGCAGAGTGTTGGGATTGGCAATGGAGAAACACAGAACTACGACATCCGACCTGGCAGAGGGTCAGCAGAAACAGATGTAAGAACGCGCGAAAGATACAGAGGGCAGAGAACAGTCATCACTGGCCTCTTGAATGCTCCACTCTTAGCGATGTGGTTTGAAAAGGCTTTGATCATCGCAGTCTATGCTTGAGCATAAAACAGGAAATCTCACACTTCCGTTACGGAAAAGAGAACTTCAGGAACGAAAGAGTTAAAAGAGTAAATGTAAGAGTAAAAAAAGTAAATGTAAGAATAAAAAGAGAAAATGTGGTGCCCAGTACCTGCCGTAAGCGAATCGGCGGTCTTTGTGGTGATCTCCAAAAGTGTCCCAGAGACGCAGGGACACGCTAACATCATCTACTACATCCCGGGATCGCTCCAGCACCTGTTGAAAAACACATACTTTTTTAATTGATTTTGCCAGTCTACAGCTCTTTGAGCAATAGTATGGATGATCTAGACTTTTTATTTATTTAATTCCATTTACTTGCTCTACGACAGACTTTTGGAGTTGCTGCTTGTTAGTGTGTTTATCTACTGCGCTAAAAAATGAACAGCTTTAGTATTTATATAGTATGCAGTCAATATGACAAAGCAACTCTGGCAGCTTGGCACTGGTCTGAGACCATTGTATTGTTTTCTGTTATCCGCAGTTCAACACCTTACTGCTCCTTCATTGATGAGAATGTTTGTTTTCCTAGAAGAGAAACATTTTATCTAAGGATGCAAGCAGAAACAACAGCAGAATATTTTAAAATACAAAACACTGTATTGTAAAAGATGTCATAAGATAATTAAAAATTAAAAAACAATTAAATTATTAAACATATTAAATAAAAAAAACAACATGATAAACTATTCATTTCAGAAATAAAGCACCCCAATATTAATCTTTGCAAGCAATTGCAATCACTGTGAAGAAATAATCAACAACACAATTTTTACTTCAGAAGTATTACGGACAATTAAAAAGTAATGCTACTGTAAATGAAGCATGCTGATTTACAAAGGACCGAAAACAAAGAGTTGGAAGTCAACATGATGTGCAGTACCGGTCTGATTTCTTTCAGGGGGCTTGTGGGCTTGTTTGCACTTCTGATGTTGAAGAATTCATTGGACTGAGATAGGAAACCTTCTAATTTTGAGAAACCCCCTCTGTACTACTACTACAGATTGTTAAATACTCACTGCCAGTACAAAAAAAACATGCTTCACTGAGAATGAAATGAACTGTTTAAGCTTGAAAACTCATAGGAATTGCCAAGAGTGAAAGCCAACCAGAAAGTCTTGAATTTCAAAGAAGTCAATGACAAGGAACTAATTACTTTAACCAATTACAGCTAATTCATTCTTTAATGACAAATACGTAATTATTAAATGAGCATCTGCAATCATGTCTCTTACCCTACAAACTCCTATGCACAAAATGATGGGAAACCAAATTTACAGACCTAGGCAAAAAATCTAAAATATCATATTGTTACAAAAAAGGGCGTTATGAAAATAGAGTAGGCCGAGCAGGTTAATTAATAAGTAAAATAAAAAATCATAAGTTATAAATATATGCCAAGAAACATATTCTTATAATTAAAGGCATCTTTGTTCTTTAGGACTGCTACGATGAAGAGAGTAATAAATCAGGCACAGTGGGTTAACAAACATTGATTAATAATAACAAGGACACATTAAACAACTCACAATTTAAACATACAACACACAAGTTAGTCTATTTACAAACAAGCTCTATCGGATATAAAGCCTAGAAGGCCAAAAAAAAAGATAAACCTGCCTTCTATTCCAAACATAATATAACTTAGAATTAAAGCACTTCAAAGTAAACCTCTATTCTAAAAATACATCCACTAACGAAGAGAGACTGTCTTTAACCTAGGGATTCCCCATACAGGAAATCAGAGTTTCCCAAAAAAAAAACAAGCTTTTTTCACAAGTTTCAAATACTTAATTTGAATCTAGTCTTAAAGGTTAATCAGACAAGAACCTCCTGCCTGGCACTGTCTCTTCTCTCTCCTTGTGTCTTTCTTTCCTTTTTCTTCCTCTTATCTTTTCCAGTGTCCTTTCCTCATCTCCCTGCTGTCTACCTGCTTGTTCTATCCTCTATTCTTCAACCCTCAATCATTTTTCCTAGCTTAATTAACCTAACTTAACCAGACAATTCCTTTTATGAATGTGTCTCAGACCCCATACAAATTAAAAATCAAACAGTTTTACTGGCATGACTGTTGAATTACAGTGTTCCCAAAGAATATACAGTCAATACAGCAGCTACAAGCATTTATGATACAAACACTTCACAGGACATTTATATACAGTACAACGTACAAGACATAAAACACTATGTTGTTGTGTGAACAGGAGGTTACGTATTGGGCTACCAGCTCCACAGAGTTCCATCCCCCCTCTCTCAGTAGGAGCTGTTCTGAATCTGGCAGGTATGTTAATTCTGGGATTAGATTTGTTATTCTAGGGAAGAATGTTTGTCTAACATACTGATGTTTGACTAATACAGATCAGAAAAAAACACTTCAGTTCCTTTCTTGCTTTGCAGATTGGAGAGCACTGCAAATGTTAACTAGGTGTTTGACCACCCCTCATGTAGCTGTAACACTCAGTATGAATAGAAAGATTCTAATTTGGCGAATCAGTCTTGGAAATAATGGGGCCTGAAGAACCTGAGGAGTTTTGTGGTAAATGAATTCAAATTGTGTGCTTTAATAAAAATATGTGCGGTGTATAAAAATCACTGCATTAATTAATATTAAATACCCTAAGCTTTTCACAATCCATCGTTATTTATAATAGTTTTAATGTATTTTTTTCATTAGAATAGGACAGGATAATAATCAGTCATTAGAAGAACTATGGTATATCTGCAGCCCACAGAAAAACATAGGGGAGGGCAGTACTGTGATATTTTCAAGTTTTGGAGATTTGCACTAACAGAAGGAAATTAAAACGAGTACTGTAAATATAAATCTCATGTTAACTACTAATTCTGATTTAAGAAATGATTGGTTTGAGCCAAATCAAGATCCAAAACACACTCCAAACACTTGTTTCTCCAATAGGAATAATAATTTGAACTTGCATAATGAAAATAATGTTTAAAATATAATACAGAAAAACTGTAAGGAGGTAATTAATGAAATAATTAATGTGCCTAAACAAGCTGAAGAAGGTCTTTTGCATAATACGCCCTGAAAAGAATTGTTTGTTTTCCTCACTGTTCTCAGACACATTTCTGTCCAATACAGGTGGGGTATGAGCCCGAACCCTGCTGGTCTGCAGATGCTTTTCAGGTAGCAACTGACTGAATGTAAACAGAAAGGCACAGTACTTTGACTTCCCAAATCCCAATACAAACTTGTTCAATTAAGCAATTAAGGTCGTCACTGACCTCCTGACAGACACGGTATTGGTCTATCGCCCAGACAGTGGGCACGTGTGTAGCGAGCAGCTGGTACTGCGTGAGGGTGGCATTGCAGGCACGGGCACAGATGAGACGCGTCTTTCCAACGGCATTGTCTCCGACCACCACGCACTTGATAGTTTCGACGTTTGGCCTCTCATAGTCCATGTCAGAATCCATCAATTGGGACCTGAAGGGGTTGAAAAAGAAAACCTATTAACATATACCGTCCCAAATTTACCAGGCTCCTAAAACCCGAGTGTCGTTCAACAAGGATGAGATAACCCTTAGATCATCCTTATGCAACCCTATTTCCACAGTTTCGTTTTGCTTTTCAAAGCTTCCAAATAAACTCGCCATGGAGTAATGCAATGATAGATTACAAAAATGGAAGCGTGTTAATAAAAATTCAAATTTGTTGTGCGATTTTAGCAGTGTCCAGGTAAGAATGACATTCACCCAGCAGCCAGGTCTTCATTGGACCAAGTGTTTTCTGAGCCACTGTGCCTAAGAGGTAACGTGTTCAAGTTAAGAAATTCCCTCTTTCCCTCATTGGGGGTGCCTCTGAGTGGGAAAAGCTTTCTGAAGGCGGTGCATTGAAGTTTCATTTCAACTGATCTCTGAACTGAACCAATCCCTTGCCTAATTTGATAAATGTATTCCTTTTCTTAAGTGGCTGCTGATTTGTAAAGTCAACAGAACAGGTCTTGCAGGACAGTGACCTCTTGGTGTAATGTGGCTGTATAATGGACTCTGAAATGAATGTCATGGGAATAGACAAAGTATCTGATCACATGAGCTGGAGTATATATGCAGGTAACTCTCTTTCCCAGCATCCAATGCACTGCAGACTCCTTCCTCCCCAGCCGCTGCTTCTGCTGCAGCTCATTTCTTTGGGAGCCTCTGACAGCCTCACCCTCACAGCCAGGCATCAGTCTCTCAGCCAAGAGTGTCAGGACCAAAGAAATCTCGAGCTAGTCTGCCGACGAAGCACTCCATGCTGTGGCAGACACCTGGAGCTTAAACATCATAAAAGTTTAATAAATTAAAGTGGTGCAAGCCTGATAACTTTCTCCAGCGTTTGAGCTGATGATTCTTGGTCATAGTTTTTCCAACTCTGTGTCGATATCCCCTCTGCAATTAGGCTCGTCAGTTTATGTGGTGCCTTTGCAAAATAGAAATGGGATCACAAAGGAATGGATGTGCAGCGATGTTACAAAGGCTACTGGCTCTGTGGCCGAGGATCTGCGCCTGTGGCTGGAAGGTTGCCGGTTCGTATCCTGCGGCCGGCAGAGGAATCCTACTCCATTGGGCCCCTGAGCAAGGCCCTTAACCCCAACTGTGCTCTGACCCCCCAGCTTCTCTCTCCCTGTCTGTGTGTCTTATAGAGAGCAGGTTGGGGTATGCGAAAAGACAAATTCATAATACAAGAAATTGTATAGAGCTAATAAAGTGATCTTAAAAAAAATCTTACTTAGGGAACAATTAGAAGTCTACTTATAAGTTGCTATGACAAGGTTTCATAGAAAAGAACTGCTCCCTCTTTCCTGCTTATAACAGAATTGTGCCAGTTCACAGTACACACAAGGCAGCTTGAGATATAAACTTCCTTAAAATTCAGGTCATCCTATAGTTTAGGAAATAATTACTCAGTACAATAAGATCCCATTATTTGATCGAATCCTGTATAAAGCACTTTGATCAACAGCTGCACAGAGGATGTGTAAAACAAAACTGGTTTCTCTACTTCACACAAACGCAAAAGGAAATTAGCTATTTGTGGTGTACAACTCAAAAGATATCTTTTCCTTACATGTTGCTGTCTGTCCAACTTATAAGATGACAGAGACCCTGTCCAGATACAGGAAAGACAAGCAAGACAAAACTGGAAAGAATTAACAGTGCTTCCTACCTGTTATTACTTTCTGTACAGGCCCTACCCTCTCCATCCCTAGATGGGAAGCAACTAGGGAAGTGCTTTACAGTAACGACTGAGCAAAGAGGCTGGCATTTCCTGAGTGCTGTATAAACAAAAAGCTGATCCAGCCCTTCCATCATCCTCTCTGCCTAGCAACAGCCGATGACTGGTAAAAAAAAATAGTCTCTCTCTCTTGTGTGTGGCTTCTGAAAGTTTACACCAGGAAGACTGCCCAAGCTATGAACCCAGAAAATAGGGCAGCAAACCAATTCACCCATCTACCCCCAGCCACATAACTAACTGGGCTCCACTCATTTTGTTGCTTCCATATAAATTATATTGCACTGTACTATTTTGGGATTTTGATAAGGCTAGGAATTGTTGCACATAATAATCACTAGAATTATTTCAATTTTCTAAAAATAATAATCAAAACTAAAGACATGTTTTAATGAGAAAAGACAGGGTAGTATTTTATATTTATTTACATATAGCCAACATGTAGAAATGCCAAGAATATCTTTCAGTTTTAAGATGATACAGTACGTCATGTAGTCTATAGCTTAGTACTTCTAATTTATCTTTGTCGAAATCAATATATTAACTGATTCCATCTGAATTGTTTTAATGTCTTATTAATGCATATTGAACTATGAAACTATGCATTTTCAATAGGCACACTGACAGAAATATAAAAACGGAAAGACAAAAAGAAAAAAAGAAAAAGACAACTTAAGTCTCTAAAAGACACTACAGTGCTTTAAAAAACGATGTAAAGAGAAAGAAGACAAATGCTTGGAATTCAGCTGCCATTCTGCATCAGTGCACACAGAATCCCAGCAGCTAAATCCAGTTACATCATGGCATAAAAAACACTTTCTGGACTTGGCAAGACAGGTAGTGGTGTTATTAAAACACACCTTTATCATATCCATCTGGTATGTAAGATTTCTGTCTAGGGGCTGAAACTGTAGTAGTAGGACAAAAGTCAACTGACAACCTAACCCTATCAACCAACTGTAGAGACTCCGAATGCAGTCTAACGTGCAGCTGCCATTCTGACATTTCAGCAACTTTCTTTATATACAGGTAGGGCCATATTGTCAAGTGGTAAAACTGTAGGGAAGACAGCTTCTTAATCTCTCCAGGGCTGGGACAGTGGAGGACAAAAGAGGGGTAAAATCATTGAATTTAAAAATGGCAATAAGCATTAAAATGATCAGGAATGACATTGTTTAGTTTTTTATACATTGTATGAAGGAGGTAAACATTCCATAGACCAGCCTGAATGAGTTACGACTCCTGAGATTGTAACTACAAATGCAGGGCAGACCTGCTATCGAGGATGTAGGCCTATTTAATGGACATTTATCAAAATTTAAATGGATCCATTATGCTGAAGTTTTAAATTTGTTGCTTTGTGTTATGCTTATGGAATCTCTAAGTCCCATAATGTAAAAATGAAGAGTTTTCTGGTCATTCCTTCTAACCAAGCTTGCAAACTGTATAACTCAACCACTTACAGTAGCTGTCAAGAATAATCTTCTTTTTTAGCTACTGACCAAAGACACCTATGAAAATTACTGGAGATCTGCAGGGGTGGGAAAAAAGTACTACTTCTACTAATAATAATAATAATTGCTTACACTTATACGGTGCTTTTTCTGGACACTCCACTCAAAGTGCTTTACAGGTAATGGGGACTCCCCTCCACCACCACCAATGTGCAGCCCCCACCTGGTACTAAATGGTACTAAACCATTCCTACCAAGCTCTGCAGGAACATGCTAAACTCTAGAATGTTTAATGAGTATCTCTGAGTCATCAGTAGATGAAGGCAGAGGAGGACTGCTCTTTTTTAACCACTTGAATTATTTGTTCTTCAGCTCAGAGTTGAACTGTAATTTAAGCCAGCAGACTGGGCCACCATTGCCCTGTTACATAACATGTTTATACCTGGTGTGAAAACACCTCACACCTGTATAGCTTTGTGCAGGGGAAAAAAAACATATGATGTGAATGAAGGCTATCTCCACAGACAGAAGCAACTGTACAACTTGGTTTAAAGATGTTTCATCACTTTGTTTCAGCCACACACTATTTTAAAGGTGGGACCTCTAAGCAGAGAAAAAAGCATGATACACCTCGAACACTTTCTTACCTCTCATCTCTTTAAGCAAGGTGGTTTGATCAATTTTCTCACAAGAAACCATGTTTGTTTCACTCAGTCCATACAGGTACGTCCTGTTGTAACACATCCATACTAGTGGCTAATTGGACCAGAGCTCATCCTGGTTACTATAGTGTTCAAGAGGCTGAGAGCATATCACAGGCTGTGTTGGTCCCTACTCAACGGGGTAGACTGGAGCAACAGGGGTACGGTACCTCACTCGAGGTCCAATAGCAGTGTCTGCAGTGCAGGACTCAAATCCACAGCCTGTCAGTCCAGGGACTGACCTGCTGTCTAGACTGTCCCTCACTAAACTTTAGAACTAAAGCACAAACTCACCGCATCAAGTTGAAGAAACAAAAAATGTAATTTCTTCACATAAGGTTGTTCTAGTCAACTAATTTCTCCTAGACAAGGTTTCTGAGAAGTGAAAACTGTCAATGATACAGGTGATTTCGTTTAGAAATAGAAATAAAGACGGATTCTTATTTTACTTTCTATGCCCTTGTCCGTGTTAACACGGTCTCCAGCTTTTTCCTTTGCTTCAGATTTTAATCACAAAAAGCCTAGTGGAATAACTGAGACAAGGCAATACATAATGACAGACGACGGACAGCTGCCCCCTTTAGTCAACTCGCTTCCAGTCTCAATCTCAAGTTTCCCTAAAATATTGCCATCTAGAAAAACGTCTTGAAAACACACATTTTACTAAAAACCATGGACGTTCTATATAATAATTTGCCAGATTGCGTCATTTCCCTTGAATTGCCAAAGCCGTCAATCGAAACACGTGCTTCTCTTCCACGTTTACAAGTAATTTTTAGAAAAAACGCCAAAAAAAATAAATAAAAAGGATGCTAAGGACATTAGACACATACAGCTTTGAACGGATTGCCAGCGATTCTGCCAACGCGATTAAATTAATTATACATTAACATATGTCCATGAACACGCTGTATAACTATCTGCTCATAAGAAGCTCAATTCGAGTGCATTTAACGCCACACGTTAAAATGGCGATAACGTCAAAACTCAGAACATGGGGTGAAACATGCAGTGTTTTTACCTTAATCTTTTCTCCGGTTGATCAATATATCGTAATCTTTAAATAAAATGGCAGTCTGGAGGGGGGGAAACGGACTTTGCTCACCTCCCAGTCTGGAAAATGGTGGTAGTTGATTTCGCTGTCCTACAGTCTGGTGTTTCCAAGGAAACAGATTTTTTATTTCTTACCAAAACTAGACGGCCACTTAGCAACCATACATAAACGCAATGGATTATTTAACAGAAAAAAATAATTTACAAAATAAGAACTAAAGATGTATTTTAAAAGTGAAGTTGATGTATTTAACTCATTAACGTGCATATTTTATAAAAACGAATATGTTAATTCCATAAGCAACAATATTTAAATACAACCACAGAAGTGCCATTGTTTTATTATGACAGTATGTAACATTCACTAGAAAGAAAACATAACACAAAGATTAAATTAGCAAAGGTACAATGAGGTTTTCCAATCCGAAAATCAAGGACAAATCTATCGTTTCGGAATGACAAAGCTTATATTGAACATCAGCTGTCAGAGATCCAAAACCGCATTTGCAAGACGATCCTCTCCAGTTTGGTAAAAGCCAGTCTTCTTTTTCTTGTTACGCATACAAACGCCATTACTGCTATACTATAACGGTATTTTCAACGCCCCCGGCAGCAACACACATACACTTCAAAACTAAAAAAAAAAAGACGGAAACTACAAATTAAGATGTAGCGGGCTGAGCAGCACTGATCAAAACGGACAGCAGACGTCTCCCGGTTATTGACGGACGTGATCACGTGAAATAAAATAAACCGAGATGCTTCATTGCCACGGATATCTTCCAGACGCACTGCGCGCTGAAGAAACACTTCTTAACAAACTAGATTTGTCGAATAAAGCGTTCAAAATGTGGAAGCTTTGAAAGACTCTAGCCCTGTCTTAGTTACGGACTCCAATACTGCTGCGGACCTAGGCTTCAGCTCATTCATAAAAAGTCTTCAGTCCCCGCCTTTTACGATGGATAATGTGTTGATTGGCTATTTCTAAGCTGCTTGCTATTGATTGGCTGCCGCGGCTGCTTGTTACCGCGGGTTATAATACGGTGAAGGTGACTCGTGACTGCTGGGTCATAACATCAGCAGGTCGCTCTTAATGGTGAGAGCTTCACGTTTCCACTGCGTAGGTTATTTTTGGACTCCGTAGGTATTTGGTCTCTATTAACTGGAGACGCTCATAGGGAGTGGTTTTATTTTTTATATGCATTGGTTAAAAATGCGTGGTTTAAGCACATGTTCGTTTGTAAATCACAAAATGAACGACATTGTAACATTCGAAATTCAGATATTTTGTTTTCGGGGACGCAAACATGAGAGTCGCTACTTCTGACACACAGGAACTGAGACTTTCAGGGGCACGGTCTTCCTTTAATCTAGTGGTTGATGTTTGATTTTAATTCATGTCGTATGGGAGGCTACATTCCATTTTTGTTGTACTATTTATTAAAACGGGGAGAGGAAGGGGGTTTCACAACTATCCTGGAGTCAAAGCCTTTCTCATATCAACACACGTCGATTGAAAACAACTTAGTTTCGACTTTTCAAAGACCTGAAACAAAAAGGAAGCAACAGCAAATAGATACCCAACAGGAAGTTCAGGAGATCTGTACTGCAGTTCAGGAAAAACCAACATAAGAAGAATGTAAGAAAAGTTACATACAAGAGTAGTTCTTTGATCCAGAGATTTCATCCCGCCGTTCAGTGAAATAAGTAAGGGTATCGACTTCAACAACGTTGCTGGGTAGCTGGTTCCATACTCCCACAGCCCTTTGTGTAAAGAAATGCCTCCTGTTCACGTTTTTAAATGCATTCCCATGTAGTTATCACTCGCGCCCTCTGATTTTGTCAGTACCTTTGAGGATTTTAAATACTTGAATTACATCCCATCATAGTCTTCTCTGTTCAAGACTACAAAGATACAGTTCTTCCAGCCTGCCAGTGCTGGACATTCCCTTAAGCCCCAGCATGTCCAGTATCTGATCGGTCTTGTCTTGACAGATACCAGACCAGCAATATTTTATCCCATAACATGGAGGCCATAATTGTACACAATATTCAAGTCAGGTGATGTGAAGTTTCCACATCCAAACCCCAGCTCTGCATCCAACCCAACTCAATTACTGAATGGCATAGAGTCGACTATGACATTTCTTTTGTATTATTTTAAAGTGGGCTATTTGTCGTCTCTGTCCATCGCACAGTCTGTTCTCTTCAGCTTTTTACACATCTCTTCGCCTAATCCTACCAACGATAGCTGTGGAAAGGGGCTCTGCTGAATGAATACAGTACGTTATTGGCAGGACCGGCGTTAATATGACATAAAACAGACAAGACGTGGCAAAAATGTAAATGCAGACAAAAGACACCGATTCTGCTTAAAATGCTGTAAATATTGAGTTTTGGAACTGAAGTAATTCACTGGCGTACAGAGCAAACAAGCGAAGCATAAAAACAGCTGATCTGGCCATATTGGCTGGGGGGGAGCGTGTCTCCATTATTAAAGTGGGGAATCAATTCCTCTTTGGTAGTGTCAGATGCTACAGTATTCCTCATGCGCCTTTCCCCTTCAACATCAGTTCATGGCCGCCCCTTCCTTCGTCCACGTTTTTGGAACGTTCGCTGAAAGGCAGCAAGTGCTGGTGAAGCTCTTGGGATGGGAACTCGGGAAAGAGGAATGGGGAGGAATCGAGTATAAAAAAAGACTGGACCTCAGCCTTGAAGCAGAACTGTAGCTCACAGCTTCCCAATAGCCCTTTTCCCCCCGAGGTTTTTTTTCTTGAATTCAGGAGAGCTGGCCAAGCTCCTTCAGAGCCTGAGCTCAGCAGAACACCATCCACATGACTCAGCAGAACCTGACAGAATTGCTTCCATCATACAGTAGCTGTTCAAGCTGCAGCTCTGCCACATTCTAGTAACTACAGGGGTAGCTTAAGTGTATTTGGTGTGATGTTTTTTTTTTTTTACTTTTACTTGTGTGTGAGGGTTGTGAAACTCTGGTGGCAGGAAGCACTGGGAACTCAAATTGTCTAGGACCCACATAGTGGGATGTGATTTGACATCCTGTAAGGGACAATTCACCTATAATTTTCCCCTTTACCTTCAGTATTGAATCCTTTAGCAACTCAGCCCACAGTATTACCCAGACCTAGACTCTCAACAAAAATACTACAACTACTCCATCTTTCAGCACATGTAACGTCCATCTACAACAAGCATCAATAATCATGAGATCCAAAACCTTCTAAAAACCAGAATAGACAATATTCTTGCAGTATGCCTCTGGTCATGTGTATGGCAAGCTTCCAGACACATCTTCAGAGTATATGTGTAACAAACAAAAGATGACACAAATGTAAAGTAAACTTATCATTCCTATGCTTAACCAGGCTAGTATACAATACATGCATTTAACCGATTTAATAATATAATAATATTTAATTTAATAAATCATTAACTTATTTTTTTCTAATGGTGTACGAAAACATAACAGTGTTTGGATGAACATGCAGTTAATTCTTGTACCGGTACTTCGGGCGCAGTTTCCCACAGTGTTACTGTGTGAAGTTATTTGGTCATTCTTTTCAGAGTACGTTTTACTACTGCAGGACCTGAAAAAAACCCACTAGAACCGGTAAATTAGGCCTATCTTTTTTTTGTTTTGGCTTTAGTTTGTATACATCTTTTCATTACACACATCGGTATGCTTAAATATGTACGAAGACATGGGGAAAGCAGATGGAGCAACGTCTTCTCCTCTTACCGTAGTATATTGAAGTGGTGCATCGGGCTGGCTGGCGTTTGAAAGCTCAGGGAAGAATTCATCTCCACCGGCCGCAGCCAGCACCTGGAGGAAGCCGGGAGTTCGCTTCATTTTTCCGGCATAAATCAGTAAGGCTTTTTTTGTGTGTGCGTGAGGATTTCGACTCCGTTTACGGTTTAACGCAGTTCCCAGGCCTTTCCGTGTCGTTCCACTGTCGGACGGTGATTTATTTATTGCTCAGTGCTACGGGATCTGTTTCCCAAGCGGGTTCGCTGCCACTGAACCCTCTGCCCGCACACAAGGTACTGGGGGCGGATTCAGTTTCAGCGCTGTGCTGCAGCATCGCACAGCCCACAGCTATGTACAGCAGGGGACACACATTTCGCGGACACGTACTCAGAAAGCCGACCTGTCCTTCTATTCCGGAATAACGCGGTGAGCAAATCCCTCTCTAGAAGTCACCGCGTGATGCCAACTGCAGCTTCCCTTTCAAATATTTAACCATCTCAAGACCTACAGCAGAACTCTCCCGGGGTTGGGACCGTACGGAGCAGCGACGGGGCAAACGATCTTCGTGCGTTTCCACTTTGCTGCTGGCTCGTAGGGGACGGCGGGTTTAACGGGATTTCAGGTTAAATTGGTACTGCGCTCCGCCGCTCGCAAGGTCACCGCGCCGACGTCAGCAACACACCGGGAGCTTTATTTCAAATAAATCCTCTTCCGTGTGCCCCCTTCCTTTCAGAAAACAAACACACCTTTCAGGTTAATTAGTGTTTCTGAAAGTCCCTGCGTGCGGCGTGATGGAATAGCGTCCGGTCCGGTTTGTAGCTTCCTCTTCGCGTCCCGTGTCTGTGTCCGCAGTGTTTCCATTCCGATGCCAGGAATTGGCTGGCTGCCTTTCTCAACCTTCCGTGGACTTTTAAGTTTTATTTTTTTGGTCAGGTTTTTTCATATAACCCAGAGGTAACCAATCCTGGTCCTGCAGGGCCAGCGTGACTGATGGTTTTTCCAGGCTCTCTTTAAAGCACCAGCACCCGAAGAGCTGGTGCAATTAAATTATTAAATGTGCATCTGTCGTCCCTTCCCAGGCCGGAGAAGTCCTCCTTCTCCACCCTGGTCCTGGAGTTTCCCTGTGTCTTTAGGCTGTACTTTCAACAGTGTTCTTTCTGATAGGCTAATTGAGCTCTAGTTGATTATTCGGACCCTTAAGAGGTTGTACAGTACTTACTCATAATAACCAGCAACTTCCATGGTCCTGCTGCTTTGCTTAGAGGCACTGCTATCCAGATGTCCTGCAAAAAGAGAGACTGAGAGAAATCGCCAAAAAACACAGGAACGATCTCAGTCAACATTTCTGCCATAGCTCTGCAATTCAGATCTGATGGTGCTAGCACTCTTTATGACAAAATGTAGCAATAACCTAAATTTCAAATGTGACATAACTTTCATGCAGACATTTTTGTAGAGACGTGCACTGGGAGAATGTGGAAGGGATGTTCACAGAGACGAAAACGTTCTGGTAGGCCTCTGAAACCAGTCATTTAAAAATGCTGCCATGTGTGTAGTGACCCTCGATTAGATATTCGTCAAAAGAGATCTTCAATATCAGACATTTCATCAGATTTTGTGTTGCAAATAGTGTCATTCAGTAAGCGATTACACGATAAAAGAGAACTCCAAAACAGTCCAAGGGGTCAGGTGAACGTTTGGTGGTTACTGATGCAAAGGTACCTCATTTGAGTCTAATGTGCCATACAATGCGAAGTTTTGATTTTTTTACTGTTACTTTAAGAAGATATTCTTGCAGCTTTCTTCAGTGGCTGCTTCATCATGCTGTACATTACCATCAGAATCAGAAAAAAAGTCCTTGTTCATGTATGGGTATCACGTGACAGAGCTAATAGGGTAAAGTGTTATTCCTCACCAAATTGAGCAATGGTATCATATATATTACATATTGTATATCACACAATATAGCATATATGTTCTCTAAAGCAGTCTTATCACCCTGCAGCTCAAAACCTCCAACCCACTGAAGCTTGGCAGGTGTGAGCCTGGTCTGGTCAGGGCCTGGATGAGAGACCTCCTGGGAAAAACTAAGGTTGGTGCTGGAAGAGGTGTTAGTGGGGCCAGCAGGGGGAGCTCACCCTGTAGTCTATATGTCTATATGGGTCCTAATGCCCTAGTATAGTGATGGGGACATTATAATGTAAAAAGGCACCATCCTTTGGATAAGATGTAAAATCGAGGTCCTGATTCTCTGTGATCATTAAAAATCCCAGGGTGTTTCTCAAAAAGAGTAGGGGTGTTACTCCGGCGTCCTGGCCAATTTTCCTGTTGGCGTGTCCACAAAAGTGCTATATAAGTGTAAGCAAGTATTATTAATAATAAGAATGCTAATCTGAACCTAATTTCGCAAGACTGAATTTTTTCCTGTAATTATTTTGTCAACATGACACTTTTTGCAGTGTAAGAAAATTTCAAACATACATCCACTTGTGGACACAGAGTACCAATGAGGATTTTTCTTGAGTTTGCAGTAAAAACTATGGCAAAAATGTCTGTGTGAAATCGCTAAATTTCAGACTGGACAATGAGAGTTCGAATCATCACACTGTTTCTGTATAACGTGAATCTGAATGACATTTTTAAAACATTACAGATTGGTATGAAGGCTGATGGGTAATTTTAACAGATGGGTTCTAAAAACTAATGCCCAACTTGAGTACAGTAAACTTAAATCTACTGTGTCAGGAACGTACTGTAGGAGTTGACTTGGACAGTCACCATGCCTTTGACAAAAACGTCTCACTGATAATTGTCTTCTGTTTGTCAAACAAGTGAATTGTAGAATGAATACATGTGAGGTAATCACACCATTTTAGTTGCTAAACATTAAAAGTGGACAAATTTGTCTAAATCCATTCAAAGTCGCTGAGTGAGATATATTGGATTTTAGCAGGCAAATTGTTTCTGTTTCTGTATGTGGCCCTCTACAAACTTTTGTTACACGCTCTGAAATACTGTACCTGCCAACAGGGCGAGAAGGAGTTCTTCCCGAGCTAAGACTGTGCTTCAGTATAGATTCATTAACTTTGGAGTTCAAGTGCAGATCAGTTTTTTCATTGCAGCTGAGACGTGCCGCATTCTGAGTTCTCCTGGTTAAACATTGAAACCCCCTGCCGCGGTTGAACAGCAGTTTCGAAAATGGCTCAGTCGGTGTGGTGGACTGGACGTGTGCTCTGTAAATCTCAGCCACGCTTTGAAAACGTTTTTCAGAGGAGCCCACCCTGTGTGTTTCTTTCTTACCTGCGTTCTGGTCTTCTTATCCGACCTTGTCTCTGGGAGCTGGGTTAGTTGCTCTCTCTCTCTCTCTTTCTCTCTCTCTCTGTGTCCCTCCACTGTTTTTCGGCTCCTCCCTCTCCGCTCAATCTACATCCGTAAGCAGAGAAGAAAAGATTTGTGAACACCAGCACAAGCGATGAGGCTGACAGGTCCGTACAGAAGCCTCAGAAGCACTCGCTGGCAATCAGGCACGCTTACAGCCCGGGGCATACAGTGAAGTTCAAAGCCATGAATGAGTCCTTCCTGCGTCAGCAAGTAGGAGCAATGGACACTGTTTGTTTAACTTTGTGAAGGTGCAAGCACCCTATCTATTAACACCTTAACTCTTTCGTTCCAAAAACCTGCAGATTTTTTAGTATAGTGGAAGTGCTGACATATACAGTATTGCAGGTTGTCGGGTTCTCCTGATGGGAGATCAACATGTCGGGCTTTATGGAGAAACCTTCCAAAGCCCGAGGCACAGATCACTTTATTGGCCATATACAATTTCTTGTATTAGGAGGTTGTCTTTTCACATACCCCAACTTGCTCTCCATGTGATACACAGACAGGGAGAGAAGCTTGAGGTCAGACTGCAGGGTCAGCCATTTATACGGTACCCCTGGAAAAGCTGGGGTTAAGGGCCTTGTTCAGGGGCCCAACGGAGTAGGATTCCTGAATATGAACCGGCAAGCTTCCAGCCACAGATCCTTAGCCACAGAGCCACCACACCACCTATCATGTCATAGGCATGTAATGACAATGGCCAGTGTTGGGGATTTCCTCCTACTGTGTCACCAGTGGCATCACATTCTACACACTCTTTCTCCCTGCTTGCATGGAGAATGCGAAGTGGGGGCAGTTAAACAGCTGCAACCTACAGTACTGGTAGGTTAAATGAAAAAACAAAAAGTTGGTGAGTGTGTGCCCTACAATGGACTGGTGTCCCATGCAGGGTGTATCCTGCCTTGTGCCCATTACTTGCCAGGATAGGCTCCAGCTCCTCCATGACCCCGTATTGGAAAATGAATGGATGGATTCACTAGTCTGCTTTCCTAGCGAATTTACCCAGTGTCTTTTGAGTGTGTAAACTGAAATAATATCAGTTATTGGATTGAATGGACTGAATAAAATGCACTACAACAATGACCTAAAAGGAGACAAGAGAAACCAGTCTTTTTATATACAGACATAAAAGATAACGTGTGCTACTGATGTCTCCAAAAGTTCGTCTTTGCTATTGCCAGTGTCTGCACAGGCTCACTTCTCTTAGCTGTGATAGCAGCAGAGCAGAACCACAGGGAAATGACAGCTCTTGCGATTGTCCTGTGTTGAGCTGAGAGGTACAGTATTTGCACACTGTGAGGAATTCAAGGCTGTGGCTGAGGGCTGTGTTTTAAGAATATATGAGCTGTGTTGAAAAGGTTCGAAACAGAAAGGTTAACTGGCTCTGCGTGGAATGCATGTGTGCTGTGTGCATGTAAGTTATTCTGAGGCTGCAGAGGCAAAGGTTTTTAACCGAAACCAGTCGTGCAGGAAATGAAGTGTCACATGTCTTTTTTTTCCAGAGGGTACTGCTTGTATAGTACATGAATGTTAAAGAGATATTTTAAATGTGGATTTGGACAGATAGTTTAGAAAAAGGTACAATCTGTTTCAAAGCAGTTGTTCCTTTCAATTTTGCATAATGTGGTATCAGAATTTGCTTGTGGTTGAATGTTCAGAAATTATGGTACTTAATGCCTGAGTTACCACTATAAGATCCTTAAATATACAGTACTGCAACTTGCAAGTGCACTGCGTGGAGTTATAGAAAATGAGTCTTATTTAAAAAGAAATCATTCAGGTAAAATAGAAACTGTATACTGTCAGCAGCTGAGTAGTGGTTAGGACTCTGAACTCCAGACTGCAGAGTCATGGCATCCAAATTCTGTGTGGTTCCAAATACTGCTGTGGTTTTAACAAGGTGCCTCTTTCAGAAAAAGTAAGTATGACATATTCATTCCTAACAATTCCAAGGTATCACTTTTTTGACAAAAGTCCTCAGTTGTTGCTACGCTGACTAAATTACGATTTTCATTTTTGTCATGAATACAGGGGCACTCAAATTTCACAGAAATCGGTTGATATAATAAAGTACATGCGCTGTCACCACCCTATGTGTAACCAACATGAGGTATGTGAAAGTTTATTATTATAAAAAAAATTCTCTGGCACAAGTTGTCTCACCTTGTTATGTGCAATGCAATCCAGTAGGTGGCAGCACAATCCAATTACCGCCTGTCCTTTCTACGAATGAGCCAGTCATTTGCTTTGACTTGATTTTTTTAGAGACTAACGTAAATCCCCTCTACAACCACCTTTACATTATAAAGCCATATTAAGGACTCGACAATGAATTGAATGATATTTAAACCTGTACATGTCAACACAAGAGTGCTGTATGAAGTTGTGCTGACAAGACACCATTGACCTTCCCTGATCTTGATGCTACTTATTAAGCTTCTTTTTCTATTTTAAGATATTTAAGGAAATCGCTGTTGGTGACTACGCTGGTCTTATGACTCTTTGTAATGATACGCCACCGTAAGAGTGTCAAAGTTTTCAACACCTTTCACATTGTTGCATAAACAATGAGCATCATATTTAGTTAGAACTATTCTTGCGAAGGCAAACATTTTGTTCTTTTTTGTCCTTTACAGGTAACTCCGTTTTGGCCTTACAGATATGTTATCTTAAACCAGTTGTGACTTTTAGCACCTGATCTCTCTGGGGGAAATACATCCCTGAATTGTGTAGCATCTTCTTCCAATTCAAGGTTGCGGAGGAGCGAGATTATCCTGGCAACAAACAGGCAGAAGGCAGGGTTCACCCTGGATGGGACGCCAGTCCATTATGGGACAGACACACATTCACACCAGGTCCCATGCTCCCAGAAGCTTAATTAACCTACCAGCATGTCTTTGGACTGTGGGAGGAAAGTGGAGCACCTGGAGGAAGTCAACATGAAGACGACAAGAAGACACAAACCAGTTGCAGGCATTCTTTTAGATGGTCAAAATAATCCTTAAATCAAGTCTCCTGTTCCTTTTATACGGATAATTATTCATTTGTGCCTCGGGACTAAGGAGCTCATACTATTCAGAAAACAGTATTGTGTGCTACACAGTATGTTTTAGCAAGGGGTTTGTCTTCTTTGGCTCTCAGTTGCCTTGCAACCAGCATAGTGCTTTTAGATCCTAGTTTTAACTCTGGGAAAACCGGAGAGAATCCTTTGTAGATTAAATGGAAACATATGCAAAACTGCAGATCTTGCAGAATTCCTGTTTTTCCATCTAGCATGCTTCAGGCAGGTGGCGGCTTTCTTTTTTGCTGACCTAATATACAAAGTAGACGAAGAGATATGAAAACTGAGAACAGTGGCAGATAACAATGATCAGGAATTAGGAACCTATTAGGAAATCAATGACATGCCATGGCACGTATAATTACAGTTATATCCCAGCCTGCATCGTACCAGCCCTGTGCTAAATCCTATATAAACCAGATGTTTTTCATTCGGAAGGAGATCGCTACAGTATATTGCATAATAGAGGCCAGACAGGAACCCAGTAAACACTACAGTAACGAGGCAAATATTTTCACAATGAGCTGAGTGGTGGAAGAGGTAATAAAAAAGGGTCTGACCTTGGATTGTTTATTATGCGGCAGAGCAGCTAAATGTTTATCTTGGAAGCCAGCGTCGGTTGCAGTGACAGAAAACATAGAAGACTAGGAGTTCAGAATAAAGACTGAAGAGAAATTTCACAGACCCAGTTCTGTAAGTAACCCTACTTCTCCAAATGTGCTGCGTTTTGATGACGGATCTGCTCTGGGAGAATTTGGGCCAGTTGAGAAGACGTCCGCCTGTGCTGACACAATAAATTACTAGTAATTATGGAAACCGCTGCCAATTACTGTGAGGCGAATGACAGAGTACTGTTAAGCACCTGATCGCTGGGCATTGTGATTTGCATTGCCAGAGCTGATCCAAGAACTCTTTGGAAGATATTGCATTTCTGACAGTAGAAAGTCGACCTAAGCCTAACTTGGGAAAGTCCAAATAATTGCTGAGGTCTGAATGTAAGGGCTTTTGCTTATACGCAAAAATACTACAAAAACTCCAAAATAAAAGCAGGACAAGATGTTTTGTAGTTCAAGTAGGTAACTGTGTCAGCATGCATAGGCTGCAAAGGAACAAGTTAAAGGTTTATTCCATGCTGAAAAGAGAAGAAGGGAAACACAACATTTTGGTTGTGGAGCCTTCTTCGGGTGTTTTGTGATCACTTAAGACTGACCTTCCTGACTTTTTGTGAAGAAGGATGTACTGTACAGGCTTAAAAGACTGTAGATCCATGTACAGTGTGCTTAAGACATCCTAAAGAAGTAGTGTAAGAGCAGAATTTAAAGAAGAGGCAGAATAATGCTCTGTGCAGCATATATTATGTACTGTATAGAAATTGAACTAACTGCAGTCATTCAAAAGATAGTGTTAAAAGAGCTTTGAATAAAAGATCAATAATTTGGTGAATGACTGAATCTTAAAAAGCTTGCTTATTTAATCTGATTAAATCTTTTGAGGATATATTAAAATACTTTTGCTCTGCAAAATATGAGAAGGTAGATTGCTCCATTGGAATTCTGTGCATTTTAGTATTTGCTGCAGTGAGAACCAATTAAGATTAGCCAACAGATACAGTCTGTTTCAGCTCAACCTTTCTCTTTCTAATGGGGTTCATGTTAGCGATCTGATATACCTGTAGGTATTTTCTCTGAAAAGTGATTTACTTGTCATTTCTGGTATTCATGGGGATGACCCAGTACTCTGTAATAATGATTGTTTTAATAAAGTTTTTATTCATGAACTGCCCTATAATTCACTTGCATGGGACCAAGAGCAATACAGAGCTGTGAATTCCACATAATGTAAAAGTACATAATCATGAATGCTCTCTAGCATTTTCTGAAAGAAAAACAAACTAATGAATAGTCCCTATTTTAGTAGTCTTAGATGTGTTAACCCTGTTGATCCACACTGTCCAATATATAGATAACATATAAAGCAAGACAAGGTCATCAGTCCTTAAGACATGCAATCTTCTGACCTTAACCCAGTTTGGAGCGCTTGTCCTAATGTCTTTCACTTCCTAGGTGGGACAAATGGCCGATCAGGCAAGGTTGTGGAAAGAACCGAACTTGCACTGACCCTCAGACACTCAGAATCACCCAGCTGGTCTGACATAGGCTCTAAGAAAGACAGCGTTCTGATGGATGACGTTAAGTAGACTTCAGGGTCGCTTTGCTTTTACTTGCCTTGATGCATGATAACACACTGTGCCATCCCCAGCTTTTGTTCGAGATCATTAATAGTAATCCCACAGGAAAAACATCCCTGAGCTGTTCACCCACGTGACATCTGACTCACTCACTCTCTGCCCCCTCCTGCCACTCCTTCCTCTGTAGCTGGATAAGGGAAGCATTTACTATCTCCCCTGGCTCTCCCAGTGTGGTCTTACTGGCTGGCTGTGGAAAGACTGACCTCTGTCAGGAAATAAGCTTGTCCACCTGGCATGTGTGTGGTGGCTGGGGGATAGATTGCCCTCAATTTGTGGGGACATTTTTCTCAAATGTAATCCCTAAAGACAAAAACTGCTGAAAAACAGATAATGAAGTGAAATTCCTACATTGGAAATGACCTTTCTTATTAACTACATGGCATCTGTGTTGCATCTTTAAGTGCTAAAAATAGTTTTAGGTTTTAGACAGGTGTCACTTCATACAAGAGAAACTTGCTAAAAACCTTTAGCTGGTTAGATTTCATGGTCTCTCCATGACGACAATGATTTGAGTGTGGTTAATGGGAATGGGAATAAAACTACATGTATATTCTGTATTTTAGTGTCTGTGTGGTTGAAAAATCTTTTTACCATGTTAAATAGGCACCATGTCTCACTCTGCAATTGTTTTCATACCTTGTGCTGCTTATATGCCTTTTTGGTGTCTGCTAAGCAGTGCTTTCAGAGCTTCGCCATAGAGGCAGAGAAGAAAACCCTCTTTCCTGTATATTAAATGTCAGGCACTGTTTTATACATCAGAGCTCAGAGTTGAATGATTTATTTTATCCATATTAAATAGGCCTTTCTCAAGTGGCAGGCTCTCAACTTCTAGTATTAATCATAGGTCTGTTTGTGCTGTCAGACTTCTTTTCTGCTCTGGCAGTGATTAGCAGGCAGTTCAGGCCAGACCTCAGTGAAACTGGTGCCTGAGAGCCATACTGATACTGCTTTCTTTTTCACAAATACCTCAGAACTGAGCTCCAGAACACTGGGAAAGTTAACAAGTGTCAAGACGACCTAAAAGCAAATGATTACCAGAGACATTCAAAATGAGGGGATTCAGAGAGATTGTTCCAGAAGAAAATGGGTTCTGCGAGATGTAGTAAATGTGTACAGTATGTATTTGAATCCTTCAAGGACATTTAGTCCATTCTCTCATGTACCAGTAGAGGGTGTTAAAGACTTTGAAAGTGGTTTTAAACGTTAGTTGACTTTCCCCCATTTTTTTGTTTTTGTTTGTGTAAGCCATCTGTTTTGTTTAATTTTTAATCTTTTTGAAGTTGGGCAATTTCTGAATCTGTACATATCCAAGAAAACTTGCTTATTAGTGTTTTCAGAAATGAGATATGCTGTGCAAGTGCTTCACAAAAGCCAATAACTTTTAACTCAGCAGTTATAAGTATCTGGGGAAATCCAGCATTTTAGCTCAAGAAATGTGTGCCGTTCCTGGTGGTTTTATCACAACCGACACCTTGAGTTGTGTTATTGCTTCTGTACTCATCTGACACTTAGAAATACTGACAGAGCTTCTGTTAGGAGTACATCTTGTAGCAATCAGCTGCCATGTCAAACACATACTGTACATCACACAGATGTGCAGAGGCTACAATCCTGCAGAATCTTTGGCTACCATTTAATGAGCATGTGATCAGTACTTAGGAAATGTAATTAGCTGAACCAGTAAATGATTGGATATATGTCCAGCATATAGTCAAGGCTGAAATTAAATATAGAAGTCACTGTAGTTTAGGGTTTATCGCCTCTGTTTAAAGTAGAAGCCGGTGCAGCATTTCCATCTTGTTTTAGACTTGATGCCACAGCTGTTTTCTTATGGCTGTTTAGTATGGCTTAGCTAATACATAGTAATGGCAACATTGTCCTACAGTGGACTGTCAGCCCAGTTGGAATTAACCCGAACAATAATTGCTAACCCAGCCCCTTTGTGCTGCCTGAGTTCTCTGTCTTTTCCTCTAATCTTGTGTTTTTAGTTCTCTTTTTTGTGACTCACTAGGTTAAATACCATAATCCTATTCATTTCTAACACCTAGCTAGCAATTATAGAAATTGTTGTAGGCTGCTCTGCCCCAAAGAAAGCATACATCTGTCATAATTATTTCAAGGTACCAACCCGATACGACTTTAGTGCTTACAGAAACAGAGTATGGGAGACTCTCACTATTTTAAAGAGGTATCCAAATACTCCACCCATTTTTAAATGACCATTACTCATCACTAAATACAAGATAAACTGGCTAAAAGCTTTAAGTCGTTGGATTCCCTGTATATAATTCCTTTATTTTTTATTTTTGCATTTTGAGTCCAAATTAATGATTCTAAAAAACAATTTCATCTTACTTAATTTCCTTACTGGAGAATATATTCTATACATTTACAGTCTAATATGAAACACACTAGATTCATATAACAGCAGTGTAATATTCTCTGATAAATGCAAATCACAAATCAAAAACTCTTCCAAGTTTGTAGGGGAAAGGACTTCAGAATGAAATTGCTCTTTTCACCTGTGAGAAGTGGATCCTAGTGTTTAAAGAAAGGATTATGAGCAAGTCCCTTTACAAAAGTATTAGCCTCCACTCCCAGGCCACTACTGAAGTCAATGGCTAACCTATTTCGGCTTTGTGTTGGATATTACTGGCTGGTGGCGATGATATAAGATGGCTTACAATTTTAGTGTATTTTTGTGGCACAAACAATTTTGTTTACACCTATTTACCATTTGCCAGTGTTGATGATGCATTGTCGGTATTAACCTTTCAAATCTGGAGCTAGATTTCATCAGCACAACAGTGTGTACAGTATGTGTGACAGATACAGCTGTGCTCTGCCCCTGCTAGGAGTTGATCCCAGTCCAGTACAGGCTCAGATCGGATAGAGCCTCACTCACAGACAGTGGAGTTGCTCAACAACGTGCTCATTGCCACTCAACGTATGTACTGTACATCACATCAGTATTTACCACCTGGTACAGACTAAGCAATTTAAACATTTGACTGAATTCTGGTTTCCAGCAGCACGGAAATGAGTTAAATGTACAAGTGTCAGCAGAGAGATTTATCAAATACTGGACCAAAGTTACAGACCATGCCTTTTTGGGAGCACAAATTCACATATTTTTTGCTGAAATGCTGTCTGCAAACAGACTAGTTGGTTGTTCTGAAGATGATATGTTAGAGGAAGCAGAGGTTGTGCTATTTTCTGATTATAAACAGAGCCCTCAGTGGCAATACAGAATTGTCAGTAGACTACCAGGATACAATGAGAGAAGAGTCAGCCAGCCTGCAGGAGGCTCATCAAGGGTAGACCAACTCATTGTCTCTTTTCAGCCTAAATTTATAAGAGCAGTCCATCCACTGTAGGGTTTATATTTAGGCCTTCATATTTATTCACCTTATAGTTTCTTGTTGTCTACCCAAAAGAGGTCAGA